AGCTGCAAGTGATTTTTACCCAAGTAGTCAGGAAGCAGTTATTATCTTTACAGCTTTCACAGAGCATGGGTACTTCACTCATGGGCTGGGTGCTGTATGGCTTCTTGATCTTCCCTGGATTGCACACACCTTGCTGGCAGTTCTGTCTTGCTTTTTATACTCTTAATTGTATAGCTTCAAAGCATTCTTTCTTGATAGTTAGTTAATCAAAGTCCAAGCAGAATAGGCAAGGACAGAATTAACATATTACAATTGTATCTTGTTTGTGCGTTTGTGAAGTTTGCAAGCTTTTGAGCAGTTTGGAATGAAATTGGATGGGTATTGATCGAATGAGGTACCTGTAGGAAGTTGATCACAGAATATGCATCAAATGGCTTATGGAGATAGTGAAGATCGGAAGCCATTGGATAAAATACGTGCGAGTTTCAGGAGAATACACTGGTTTAGCATAATAAACATTTAGAGATTGACAGCCTATTTTGAGAAATATGCCTTACTTAATTCATGCAAATGAGAGGCAGTGAGGATCAGAGGCTACTGGGGACAATAGGTGTGAGGTAGACAGGTTAGATGCAGTCACTGTAGACTGATTTAGCACAACACAGGAGATGAGCTCAATTTGGAATTGCTTTCTTTCACGTAGGCTCCAGCCACAATCTTCTAGCTTGCTCTGAGTCTTGTTATATACATGTAATGAGTGTGTCAGATCTCTGTCAATAATTTTAACCATCACTTTTATTTTTTAGGCTCGAGTGTGGTAGAGGGTTGAGGCTGTTATCATGATTGTTATCATCTTATGGCATGGGTCTGATATGGGGTACCACAAGCCCCACTTTCTCTATGCCTAATGGGTTGCAACCATTGCTGGAGTTTGATTTTCTTTGTGGAAGACTTGTTACCACAACCCAGTGTTGCCCCAGCCACTGTCTTGCATTTTTGTGCAAGAGACACTGTCTAAGCTTTCACAGCCATCACAGGGGGCAGGCAGGGTCTTCAGAGGGGGTGGTGGGGCCTGGGAGGCAGATATAGGCTTAGGGGTGGGCGACACGATCATCCAAGGTGATATGGTCAGGGGAGGGCCAAACACTCCAACACCCTGCTTCACCCCAGCCAACCCCCACCCCAGGCAGGAGGAGTGGTGCCCAGACCAGCCCAGCAGGGGCTGGCCGAGTCTACCCACTGCCTCCTGCCCCCATGCGGCTCCCTTTTGCATCCCTGGTTCAGCCATGTGGGGCAGCACCCCTGTCCTCCCCATCACCCTGAGATCCCAGTGTAGCATGGAAAGGAGTGGGCAGGAAGAGGTGGGGGGAGGGCCAGGCCAAACCTGCTACTTCCTGCTTGACTCCCAACTTTCCACTCCTCCCTTGCATAAACTTTACCTTCCTGGCCACTGGCTCTGCTGCACTCCACTCCATGCGCCCACTCCAGCCCACCCTGCCCTGCACCATTCTGTGCCCTCCGGAGCACAAACAAGATAAGCATCCTGCTCCGCTACAGTCCCCCTGTGACAGTCTCCGCCTGGGTGGCTCCAGCCCTGTGTCAGGCTCAGGTGGTGGCAAGATATACTTGTCTGTGATAATATGGGGATGACTTGATGATGTAGGGGGGCCTTTCAGCTTTATGTTTTATGCTTGTCAAAGTAAAAAGAGAATAGAAAATTAACCCATATAAATATTGTAGTTGTGAAGGTAGGTTTTCCATGAATATCTCATCCATTTTAAATTGTTAAATGGCAAGCAATCTCTCATCTGCTTTACAGTTGATAAAGTTTGTTACCCAGGGCTCTGAGAATTCAAATTGGTTAACAGGACCTCAGTAATAACAAACAGTATTTATCATATGATACATAATGGATGTCAAAACCAAGCCACACAAATGTGGACAAACCTAATTAAGCTGTGATTGGTTTATTCAAGTCTCCGCAGCTGAATATTATATGATAACCAGCACAGAGCAGGTGCAACATGCATCATTGGCTTGATTATTCAAAATTCATCTTTTCTTCTATTCTATTTTTTTTTAAAGCTTGTAAACAAATTCAGAGGGCCTTAGTCCTACTGGAACTATATTGCTTTATAGTATAATGCTAATGTTGTTTATAGTATAATGCTAATGTTGCTCTACAGGAATAGCTGTTATGTTAAGTCACAGCAAGATACAGGCAAGGAAGATCTAACAAAGGTCAGCCTGTTAGAAAAGGACTATTGTCTACTGCCAGAGGTGACAAACTGCCAGCTTCCATCTTCTGAGTATCTTGGTCTTCTTTTTATTCCAATGCCTACCCTGGCTATCCCTCTTCCATGATGCTGGAGGTCTTATTGTTCATTGAGTCAATGAAGACCTCATGCTCACTGATGAATCTGAGCCTACCCACATGGGACGCGTCCGGACGAGTGCGATCGTGAGGTACGTGGCACTGCAAACACGTTTGCAGCGCCACATACTGCACAGTCCGGAGTTCTCCATGCTGCAATAGCATGCTGCCCGAGTGTGTGCTGCAATGTTTTTCTTTTTTGTAAGTTTTTTTGACCCCTGAATATCCACGGGCCTTCCCTGGGGACAAGAAGTGGTGGTGCAAGGTGCACCGCCACTAGTGGTTCCCAGGGAACCAAACTTCCACGCACATCTGGACATGTCCATGCAGGCCACAATACCTGCAAAGCCAGACCAGGACCTGAGTGGAAGCCTCTGTGGTCAGTGGTCACACCTAGACGGAACCCACATAGGAACAGGCTGAGAAAGCTCATTTTGATGTCTTCCAGCCATCCAGCTGATTCTCCTGCTAGCTCCTCCTTCCTCTTGCTGTTACTCCTAGAAAATTCCTTCTTTCTCTGTTGCCTCTTCTGCTTAGCAAGGAAGGGTAAGGAAGTGGCTGGACAAACTCCCCAGCACACTCCCACTCAAATTCCCATTTCCTGGTCCTCGTGTCACTTGAGTTCTGCCTAGACAAGTCCCACCTCATCATTCACACTGCTACTGGATGCTAGACTCATCAGCCAAGAACCTAAACTGAACCTAAATCACCAAGCCCAAAGTAGTTATGATGCAGCTTTAGTGAGCACTCTGCCAAGCAATATACAGCAAACTGTATAAGAAACCATTACATAAGGAATTATCATTAGTTATCCTTAATATTAAAAGGGCACGTCTTAACAGCTCTACAGGGCAAATTCAGATGATGTGTGAGTGACTGAAAGTCCATTGAAGTCAAGCAGTGGGTTCTGAATTTGACCCCTTCTTTTATAGATCTGAAAACATTTAAATATAAATGAGAAGGGTCATAGCACTCTTTACACACAACTCTCTCTAATTCCCTTAGAAGATCCCTTTTAAGAATTTAGGTCAAATCTCTATATTATAGTTGATGTGGTTCTTAAGGGAAGTTGAGCATCAAACCTGATATGGTTATTATGGGCTCATCTGGAAAGTGTAGCATACAATTTTATTCTTACCCTGTGGCACTGTAAAGTGAATAAACATTGCTCAGACTAAATTCAAATCCAAAAAAAAGAAATGCAGTTGGACTAGATTGGAATTAATCATTAAAAACTGACATAACTATTTTATATAACAAGCGCACCTCTGGATATCTGTCCAGATTATTTGGGTACAGCTAAAGCATGGCTTTCACAGTTAAAAAATGAATGCAGGCCATTAATCCACAGAAATAGTAACTAAAACACAAGAAATAATATTGGAACAGATAACTGTATGAAAATTTAACCAGAAAAATAACGTTTGTGATGCAGCAACGTCAATGAATGTTATAATTAATAAAGTCTTGCAAATTTACAAGTTTGGAAAATGTCAAATTGTTTTTTCTGGATTTTTTTTTTTTTTGCTTGACATATCTATTTATATTGCAAAATTTTTGGCACCAGGATTATTTTAGTTATGTGTTCAATACCTAGCATAGATGAGGTCTAGATCTTGATTATGGCATCTTTGTGTTACTGTAATATAAAATAATAAAAAATAATAATTATATACAAATCAATCCTATGTCCTTAAACAGAATTTGGAAATTAGGAGGCAGTTCAACAAACACTCAGAGGAGGAATTCTGGCATTAGTGAAGTGAAGAGCAAGCAAAATGTCCATTGACTTTGGAGACAAATTATCACCTTTAAATGTCTACAGAACTGAAGCACAGTGGTACATAGCACACTGCTGCTGGAAGCTCTGGTCAAATGTTACTTTTTGTTAAAGTGGTCTGAATTTGCCATAACGTTGCTGAATTCAGGGATGCTGAACCAAGATAAATCTAAAGTACATGAAAGCACAATTTGACTCCTTGTTGAATAAAAATCATATTACTAGTGGTCATTAAAAATCTTGTAACATTTTCCAGAGCTGCAAGATGCAAGATCTGGTGGTATAGGATAGTATCCACCTTGGGTAATAATTTATAATAATAATAATAGGTTGGCATTTCTATATCAATTTTCCATTTATGGTCTTGACTTTCTAAAGGGTGGCGGTATTAATACCATTGTCATTAACTGGGGCACAAACAAGACAAGTGACTGGCCCAACATCACAGACAATGTTAGTGGTAGATCCAGAATTAGTTATCATGTGTTCAGACACTCAGTCCTGTGACTCATTCACATGATCATTTTGCCTTCCAAAATTGCATTCTGACTGTTTAAAATTAACAGCTTTACTTTTGGTTGGATCAGCTATCTCATTTTCTCTCACTTTTGGGACATAGCATACCATGGCTGTCTCTGTCAACTGTTGTTATATTTATCCCCAGAGTTTTATCTGGGGACAGTTTTGCATATCAGTCCACTAGCTGAATAAAACCCTTCAGGAACCCTTTGAAGGAAAAGATTGTAAATAGACTGCAAAAAAAAAAAAAAAAAAAAAAAAGCATGGGAATTAATGTATATACATTAGCAGGACAAAGTACATAACAGAGCAAACTTTGTGATTGTGACTTTTTTAAAGAGGTTGTGAGAAAGGAATAAATTTATCCAATTACACACTCCATTCTAGTACTGATCAAAGAAAAATTTATTTACAGAAATTTTCAATACAAACATAAAATAGCACATTTATATATATTTTTACAAAAACGAATATTGAAATAATAAACATGGTACAGCACAAAAGGACAATTATGAGCTAAACATAACAGTGACAAAAACCATGTCTGGAAGAAGTTTCCCATTAGTCTTATGTAATCAATGGTATTCTACAGTACCATGAGTGGAATTCTTAATGGACAGAAAGATGTCCATTTACTGTACTTCATAAGAGTACCATAGGCAAAGGCTACATATGCTGAGTACTATGTTGCATTTTTGTAATAATGCTGAAAACACAGAGGCATAATAAAAGTTTTATAAGGCTGAATAATCCATTAATTAAATGCTTCAGGAGAAAAGTGTACAGAGAATATACAAAATACTGATAAAGTGGCTTATTGGTCCATTTATTAGGTCTAATGTATAGTTTAAAAAGTGTTATAACATTGAATTTAAATCATCAAACAAAGTAAAAAAGAGAGAAGAAACTAAGAAGAAATGCACCAAGAAGTTTGTATTTTATTTGTTTTGTACCATGGACATGATGACTGTGTGTGTGTCTGCGTGTGCGTGTTTTCAGGACTGTTGTGCTGAAAGGAAACTATGGCAGATTATACCCTGCCTTCTGGCACATCACTTCCCTTTTCACCAGTCTTTCAATTAATTGGTGCATTGTAACATTCACAATTTACTGAGAAGAGTATTCTTTGCTCCCTACAGTTATATTCTTTCAGAGTAGACCAGAAATGAACTCTGTTAAGAAAGAACTGCTCATCCCACCCGAGATTCTTGGCCTTTGGTCCATCATGCCAGCCTCCCCACCCTCCCACTATTCACAGTATCACCCGATGTTACCTTGATACACCCACTGCCATTTCCGACTGACTGTACTGCAGTTAAGAGCTAAAGCACTGTATTCAGAAGAAGTTTGCAAGTCACTTCGGCCTCTCAAAGCTCATTTGTTTTCTAAACCGGTCTTGTTTGCCACTCATCTGTCAGCCTCAGTAAGGGTACTGTTTCTGTTTCTTGCCAGAGAAGCAGGCCAGCCAAGTACAGATTAACATAGCTGCAGCCGCTCCTCCTCCAGTGCAGTAATAAGCCCAGCCAATTTCACAGGTACCTGCCAGGAACAGATGAGAAGAAGCAATGTTATACAGGAAGAAATCTTTGCTTTCACCACAACTATATAAAGTCTTTCCTCCTGAAGCAACAAAAGAGAAATGAAAGCATTAGTAGTCAAATACAGCATATGCTGACAAGCATTTTATCCCCTGTATCAGCTTTGTGGTTTCATTCTTCACATAAGCAACTTTTCAGTCAAAGAATCATCTGGGCATATATTGCCTAACAAATTCCCTGCTACTGCAGAGACCAAGGCGTCAGTACTGCTCTTACCTTTCCTACTCTTTTCTACTGCAGGTTTTTTTCAATTTATCTGTTGCTATGTGGCTGTGGTATTTGGGAGGGGCTGGGGTGGAACTTCTTGTGGACTCCTTTTGACAAATGGTTGCAGGGGACTGCATTTGTCCACATGCTTGCACTGCAGAGCCAGGCATTTTTAAAAGCACTTCATGCTGCGGTGTATGCATTTGTATAAATGGTGAAATGCGCGTCAGCGCTGAGGAAATGGCAGCGGTGTGGTTTTGACCTAAAACACAGGGAAGGTGTTTTAGTTTAAAAGCGTACCGCCACCATTTTCTCAGCACTGATGTGCATTTTGTCATTTATACAAATGTATGTGATGCGGCACCGGGCGCATCAGCTTGCGTGTGGAGCAGAATTGATTGAGTCTGCTCCAACGCGCCACATTTCCAGCACGTTGGACCAGACAAATGTATGTGTATAAATGTCCAATAGAGGTCCCTTCCAGTCATCTGTTCCGAAGTCTGTTTATTTTGGCAGAGCCATTCAAACATTAGTACTATCTATCTAGGTCCTTGCACCATGTCCATCCCTTCAGTGTCTAAGTGTAGAGGATCCTCCAGTTAAGTAATTAATTAGGTAATTACTCTTTTACTGAATCTTGCTCAGGTCAACTCAACAGACCATTCCTTGACCCGTGCTGGCAAAAGGACCAGTTTCTGTCTCTTTTCCACAGAACTAAATCTGAGGGCAAAACTGGGGTATTGCCAAGGGAATACAATTAGCACTGGAACGTCTTCTTCTATGCATCCGCAAACAGACATGGGTGTGTCAAATCTATCCTTGATAGAACTTCTAAGCTGTGAAGAAGAGGCAAGAATTGATTTTCAAGCCCTGAACTCTGCTGCTTCTGTAATATAACCAGTAAACCAAAAGACTTTATCTGTATATTGTGGAACAATTGTGCATTTCATGGTTTTTAGTTTTGTAATTTAATTTAATAGGAGATACACAACTAAAGCTCCCCCGCTATTTGTACCTATACAGATCTTGAGGCCAAGTACAGACATTCAAAAAGCCCAAGGAGGAATTGATCTAAGTTATCTAGTTTACTGTAAGCAATGTAGTTTAGATTGGTAGTGAAGAGAACACACTTTTTCCCTTTGGTTGAGGGGGGGCAAAGCTTAGACTGGGTTCTGCCATTTTTAAACCATTCTATGGGCATTTATACATGTGCTTACATGCTCCAGGACTGGTGGGGCAGCAGTGGAACACTTTAATTAGAGCAGCTCCAAGAGCCATTCTATTTAAAGCAGCCAGAGTGTCTCTCATGTATAAGCGTCCCCATGCTTAAAAATGGTGGCGGGGTGCTTTAACTAAAGATTGTTCAACGAGCTTTAGTTAAAGTACCCCCACCACCATTTTTAAGCATGGGGACGCTGATACACGAGATGCTGGAGTGTGGTAATTACCACGCTCAAGCAGACTCGATTAATCGAGCCTGTTCCGACATGCTGTAATTACAGTATATCGAAGCAGCCTCGCTGCTCGTATATAGGTGCCCTATGTGTGCTAAACTGTTCTGTTACAAGTATAGACAGGTTTCCAATCACTTATACCAGTAAAAATGTAGTGTCTGTACCTGGTCTGAGTGATTTCAAGGGGTTATGTATTTGTAAAAGTATCTGCCTCTGTGCATTTATGGCAGAACTCCAGTGTCTATTTCCAAAGACATTTATTTGAGGTAATTGTAAGTCACATCTCTTCAACTGCTGCTGCTTGATGTCACTGTACTAAAATGGCCAGAGCTGGCCAGAGCTGAAATTTCTTCCTGACCATTAATTTTTCATCCGAGAAGCAAAACTGATACTTCTATGAAGATACCTACACCATATTCTTTCCTCTGCTGCTAGACAAATTTGTATCACCATGGAAAGCTAGCTTTGTGCTCCTTACTTTAAAACAGTGCTTCAAAAATAGTATTTATAAAAATAGGCTGAAATGCTACATTGAAAAAAAATGGTCCTATCTACCACACTGTTTCCATAAATGGAAATTTTTCACTTTTGGGACAGTTTGGCTAAATATAAAAGGCATTGCCTTGAACTGCATAAAACAAACATGGTAACATTCAAAGCTGTGATCTGTGAATGACCGAACTTTCACTGCCTCTTTGCATATGAAGAGCAAATCACTCTGAGTATTTTAAGTTGGTAGTGAAGAGCTATCTAAAAAACCCCCATGAATTGCTTCATCAGACCGGACTCCTTTGGGTCCCAGTGGAATTCTAAATAAAACTGTCAGGCTGCTTTTTACTAAACTGAGAAGTAAAGCTCCTCTTAGATGTCTGTCCACCCAAAGAGGAAATATTTGATTGGAGGATTTGGTTTGCCTACCCTTCTTTTAAGAAATTAGAGAAGCTAAGCCATATTTAAACTGTCCCCTTTCACTTTCCATAATGGTTCGTCAGACCAGCCTCCAAGCTTTCTTGGTCAGCAAATTGCAGTTTTCAACACAGGGGAAAACTACATTTGACATTTAAAGTAGAGGTTGCTGGCTTTGAAAACACATTAGAAGTGAAGCAGACAGCCCCGTTGCCTGCCAAGTCCAGAGAGAGAGAGACATTGGAGGCATGGTTTCCCTAGCCACTGCAAATCTCTCCAGGCAGCACTTGAGTGTGCTCTGTTGTTACAGACCACTCAGGCCTGCTGCACCTAACTCAGGACTCAAATTTGCCTTATCCAGGAATAACTGAGAGAATGAACTTCTTCCATTATCATAATTTAGTCTCAAAATTTAATTCTATTGTAAATGGTTCACCCAAATTATATCCATGATTCAGCTACAAGCAACCTATCCTGTGGCAGCCAAACAGGATAAATCTTTACTGGGCTGAATCTGGACAAGTTTGCTGTAGGTGTGAATGCAACAGGAGCCAATGTTGGCTGTACATGTGTGGGCTGGGAATGATGGGGTGGGATTTTCTCTGTGACATGAGGAACTTAAAGGGAGCATCCCTATCACTTCTGACACAAGAACCTTTTAGCCTGGGAAAAAGTTCTTTCTCCTGGAAATAGGGGAAAGTAAGGAAAACCTGTTCTCCCATCTCAGGACTCCAGCCCACCCCAGGGGCAATTTTTATTTAGTATGGACTGATATAATTGAGGACCACGGTCACCATGACACAGCCATGGGCCTCCATTTTCATCACCTTCTACTTTGAGTGGTTGTTGAGGGGTGGCGGGGGGGACGGGGACTATTCAGTCTCAAAAGGCAGCATGCAGCTCTCTTCTGCCTTTCAAGAGGGGCAGCTGTGGCTATCCTTCATTGTAGAGTAGCAGGGACAGTAATGAGGGTCTTCCTTTGTCTCCTTGGAAGTCAGGTTAGAAGGTGTCTGGCCTTAAATATTTACCCCATGCGCAGGTTTGTTTGTTTTTCTTTTAGTAAAAATTTTCGTGCTCCAAGCCAAATTGGCCAAATCAATTCCAAATCCGTGGCCATTCAAGAACCATGTGTGGCCCTACTACCGGCAAACATCCTCCACCCCGACCTGGGGCATCAGATGTTTCCAAATCATTTGGCAGGCATCCTACGTGCAGGCCCAAGCCCGGCGGTTTGGGGTTTGGATGCCCCTGAGTTTCGCTCACCCTCAGCCGTATGGCCGCAGGAGCAAGCTAGGGAGCAGGACTGTAGAAAGGTAGGTACTGTTGCAGTGAGTAGTGCTGCAGGGTGTCTCTAGCTCTGTTCCCATGCTCCTCCTCCCCCCCCTCCCACCCGAGTGAGCAGACCACGGTGCAGGAGCAAAGCCGGGGACTTAAGTTCTGAGGAAAGTAAAAAATCCCCACTTCCCTTTCCCTCCATGCACAGAGGCACATCCCCTCTTCTCCCTCCCCTCTCCTCTCATTCTCCCCTCTCCACCTGCCACTGCCAGTGGCTGCACCATCCTATGGGGGCGAGGGGAGCTCCTATCCTACTGCAGCCAGGCTGTGCAGGGGCTGCACTCACCCAGGACTGCAGCAGTGACAGCACTGGCAGGTGAACACGTTTTCCCCTCCCCACGCTTGCTCCCAGCCTGCCAAGGAACACATGGGGAAAGAAGAAAAGGAAGGGAAATGCACCTGCCCAGTGCTGCTCTTACTGCTATGGGGGCTGGGCTCAGCCCAGGGCCACACAGCCCAGTGGGCAGAAGCTCCCCTTACTCCCAGGCAAGGACAGCAGCAGTGGCAGCAAGTAAGGGAGAGTGGAATGAGAGGGGTAGGAGATGGGAGGGGAGAGGTTGTGTCTTTGAGCAGGGAAAGGAAGGGGTAGGGGGATTCTTGTCTTCTTCAGGACTTTAGTCTCCAGCTACTGCTCCTTAGGCATGATCGGAAGGGGGAGGAGGAAGGTATAGTTATGCCCCTGCATCCTCTCTGGATCTGCCCCTGGGGAGGGATAAGGGAGTCATGTTTGTATGTGACAAATATAAGAACAAAGAGCTGCTGGATCAGTGCTGTAGAACTGCTCAAGAAATAAAGGGCACACATTCAACCATGGACATGGCAAGCTGTGATTATTTCTCCACGCTGTGCTCTGTTTACTCACAGGAACACTGTGACACTTTAATGATACAAGGAATGGCAGGCAGCGCTGCCCTTTCAGATGCAAGTGCAAGCATGGTTACGAGGAACAAGAAAATGGCAGATAAGAGACAGTGGGGAGATTTGCCCTTACAGCAACAGTGACATGAAAATAAACCTGCCCATTAATTCCATCCAGCAT